AAGGAGTAATTAAGTATGATCAATGTTCGGTGCTTCTAACAACACTGTCAGAAGAAAGAATTGAGTATGAGGGTATTCAACCTCTACCTGAGGAATATGGGGTTAACCTAATAGAAGGTGAGTATACTAAGGATAGTAAAGTGGATTGTGAGTTTTTAGATGTCTGTATGGAGGAACAAACATCTTTGGAGGAACTCAACACAATAAATGATCACGCTTCTGTAGATTATCCAGTCATGATCCTAGAAACAGGTCCAAGGACTCTTAATGGCAGAATACTTAAGTGTGTAAGGTTCAATGGAGTAACCAAACAGAGGAAGATGCAATTTGGGAAATTGAGGATCAAGTAAAGGCAGAGTTCCCATATCTCTTTGAGGTCTAGCACAATCACCTTGGTGGTCAAAGTGGAGTTGAGTCAGTCAAGAAAGGCCACAACACCCAAAGTGCTACATGCGGATCAGTTGTGCTTTCTAGCTCAAAGTTTTTGTTTTCAAGTCGGCCGTGACATCCCTATCTTCTTGCTAGCCTCTGCGAATCTCGAGGATGAGATTCATCTTAAGGGGGGTAGAATTGTAACACCCTAAAATTTGCAATGTTGGAAATAAAGTTAAATTGATTTAAATTTTGAATTTTTGTGCTCTTGAAATATAGGAAAAAGAATATTTTTCATTATATTAAAATTCATCATAAGGAGTAGAAACATGGTTGTGCATACATGCTGGTGCATTTGATTTATTTGGTTGAGTGGTTTTGATCAAAATTCAAAATGGTTTAAAATTGTTTTTGAAGTGAATTTGAAAAAAAAAAAGAAACGAAAAATAAAAGAGAATTGGAAAATGAAAGTTTTAAAAAGTTACAAAGTTTATTTTTGAAAGCCTACCAAAAGTTTTTATCTTATTTGAATTGAAAGTATATTTGAAACAATATTTGAATTTGATTTGGTTCATATTTGAATTTGGTTTTGAAATAGAAAATTGAAAAGGATTTGGAAATTGGAAAAACTGTTCCCTCCTCAATCTGGCTCGAGGCCCAGCACCCTCCATCCCCCCTGTCTCTCGGCCCGGTCTGTTTGGTCCACCCAGGCCTCTCCCCTCCTCTCACCGCAGCCCAGCCGAATCAGCTGGCCTGCTGCTGCTTCTCTTCATCGTCGGCCTAGCTGTTACTCTCCTCGTCCACTCGGCTAGTAGCACGCCCGACCCAGTCTTCCTGGCCCGTCGGCTAAGAGCCGATGGCACACAAGCACGTGCTACTACCTCCGTCTCTTTGGCCGCCTGACCCCAGCTGCCAGCCAACACGTGCACACCGCGCCGCTGCCCCACCGCTCTCTCCCTCTCTTTCTCTGTATGACGCATCGGCCCCACGTGTCAAGCACTTTTGCCCGCACCGCACTGCTCTCTCTCTCTCTAGCTAACAATTGGGTCCCACATGTCGGTCTCTCTCCCCGCCTTCCTTCTTCTCCCTCCCGTAGCCGATACGGACTCTATCGATGCCGCCGCCGTATCCCGAAAACGTCGGGATTCTTCGCGTGCGGATCAAGCTGAGCAGCCCCTATAAAGCCCGAGTGCCCTGCCGTGACCCCGATATCCCATTAACATGCCACCCCAAGCCCTAGCAAGCGCTACCGCCTTGCTTGGATCTCATCGGCGAGAAGTGCAAGGCCCGCCGTCGCTGTTCTTACCATCCGCTGCCTTGCCTCTCTCTTGTCACCAGCGAGAATTCCGCTCGGAGCACCGCGCAAGGGTAAGAAGCATCCTAGTAACCTCTTTGTTCCTTCTCTCTTGTTCTCTGCGAGGTATATGAGCTCGCCGTTGTAACTCTGGTAGTCCCGAGCCGCCCCGCCGAGCACGCTGTCGTCTCCGGCCTTCTGTAACCCCTCTGACTTCTTGGAAGAATTCGCCAGCACCCTAGCTCCCTTCCTGTGCTGTTGGCTCCCATGATTAGACTCCATAGGCCATTACCTCCGTGGTCACCGATGAGAAACACCGCTAGCATCCCCAAACCGCCATCACCGGCTCTCCGCTGCCCTCGCTGACCCCTTGGACATGCTCACCGACCTCTCCTATCCATCCTGGTGCCCTTCTTTATGCCCGTGGCCACTGAAATTGTCTTCTAGGCGAACTCCAGCGAGGTCCGAGCCCTTTGTGGCCATGGCACCATCGCACCGAGCTCAGCTCTGCCGACCTCTCCTTTTGCGCTCACATCCGTTAGATTCAGCGCAGACGGCCTAGATTAGAACAGGGTCACATGTACCGATTTGGTCCACAGCACAGAATGGACACGGTCCATCACCCCAAGTCCAAAGCCATGTCACCTAGTCCACCAGCATGGCCCAATCCCACAGCGCCGCGTGGTGCCACATCCCTACTGACTAGGTCAACCCGACCAGTCACCACCTCTTTTGCAAAAAAACCTCTTTGTTTTCAATATTAAACCCGCAGTCCATTGGCTGTTGAAAGTAATTCAATCCATGCCCCTGGTTTTTATGTTTTGACCCCTGTGTTTTCCTAAAAATGAGGCCAGGTCCACAGAGCAATTTTAATTCATTTTCTTTTATTTTAAAGCAGAAAATGAGTTCAAAATAATTACAAAATTGCCACTGATTTTGTTTTGCTTATAAAATCTCCGTTTTAACTCCGATTTGATCCATTCAAATTGCGTTAGATTCGTATCTTCGTATTCTACATTGTAGTAACCTTTATGTTTCTATTTTCAAAAGTAATATTTGATCCATTTAATCCTAAACTTCGAATAGCCATAGTTCGATCCTCGTAGCTTCGTTTTGCATGATCTTTGCGTCCGTGTGAACGTAGCGATGCATAGAATCATTCTTCGATCTTTTTAACTTGTTTTTCATTGATTGGTGTACTATTATCATATATCCTTGTTTGTATGCCATGTATGGATGTTTGTGTGGTGATCTATGGTTTAGTCAATCGGTGAGGTTTATGTGGTGATCGAAAAGCTATTCTCTAAAGACCAAAATCTGAGAATTAGAAGCAGAAGATTGGAAGTTGAAGACTAAAGGCTTTTGAGCAAGTTGCTTTGGGGGAAAAGCAAGTTAAGGCAAGTATAACATGAGGTTCCTTGTTACTTATTCACTTTAATGCAACTCATCATGTGCATATGTTTAATGAACTGCCTGGAGTCTACCTACCATGATATTGATTACTATGCCTTATTCACCTATGGGTCTTTATGCATATGGGTAGTCACTGATAATGCTCAAGCTAAATGGTACATGAACAATGAACTTGACTAATGGTGACATGCAATCAAGATAAAAGATGCTTTTTAGCAACATGGATATAAGGTGTTGGAGCACTTGGCTTTTTACATGATGCTCTTGCGCCTTCCCTAAGGACTTATCTGTAAACAAAATCCGGGACTTACAGTGCAACCACAAGCTATTATGGCTCTGGCTTGATTAAGTACCAGACTTTTACTAGTTTGTGGCAGCTTACCGAAAGGCGCAAGAGGGGCTCCGATGGGTATGATATCTACCTTCCAAGTGGGTGCATTTGGTTTCCTTGGTTGGTTTTTAGTCACCCCTTGGGGGGAGGGTTCATGCTTGTTGATGGGGAATCCTAGCGGGTTGCCTCTTATTAGTGGAACCTGTGAACGGTCTCATAGTGTACCCTGCCCCACTTCCTTGGAAGAGGTGATGGCATATGGGAATTATGACTTGTGGGTAAAGATGTACAACCTCTGTAGAGTGCAAAACTGATATATCAGCCATACTCACGGTTACGAGTGGCCTGGAAAATTTACAGAATAAATGGCTCACTATTGTTGGATGATTAAGATGATGTTTAATTATGATTCTTATGAGTATGAGAATTGCTATATCTAATCATGTGGGAAACATGGAGCCTATGCATACTATAGTCAAGAATAAAATAAAATATGACCAACTAAAATGCTGACCGCTGCAAACCAGTGTCTAGCCTTTTGAGCCTTGTATCCCCTTGTGTTATACTTGTTGAGCATGGTGAGCTCACTATTGCTTAATCACACCACAACCCAGAAGATGGTCCACAAGATAGCTACAGGTGGTGTTCCTCACTACAAGAGATGTGAGGGTTTATGACCATTCATCTGTCATAATATATGAAATTTATGTCACATATTAGCACTTGTGACACAGATGACGAAAAAGCCTGTGTCAAAAACCATGCACCTTAAACCATGTTTTGTGTCGTTTATATGTTATTGTCATAAATCTATGACATTGGTTTTAAAGTCACAGTTTTATGACAACTGCTTTTACGTCACTCTTATTAAACCAACCCACATAGTAGGCAGGCTTATAATGGGCCAAGCCCACTATTTTTTTGGCCTAGCCCAAAATTTTAGGTCTCAAATTAACAGCCCATAAATACATGATTTTTTGGCCCATTATTTTTTGCAATCTCAGATTAAAAGCCCAATCCATATAGATAAAAGATTAGCCCACATTATTTAACATCACACAAAAGCCCATGTCATATATTAAATCAACAATTCAAATACACAGGCCCTGCACACTGCATCTTCATCTACTGTAGCTTCAAATACAAAAGCCCATGTTCTGCTCACTGTAGATTCATGCAGTGAGCAGGCTGATTATTTACAATATTGTCACATTTCAGGAATGACCGAACCAAAGTAACAACAAATACATTTTATATTCTATTAACACTACTTCCTATGCAAAACATCTGCAACAATCTTCCATCTCATCCACACATCTGCAACAATCTTCCATCTCATCCAACACATGAAACATCACATCTTAAGATACTTGCACGTCTGTGGCACACAAAGCAGAAAAAAAGACAATCCCAGATAGAGAGATTAGAGAGATAAAGAAATGATTGGTTTAACATGTTCAGCCCAAGAGAAATGAGGCAGTACCTTGATCGGGTGCTACAAGTAGTGCTTGCAACTCTGGCACCGCAGCTTCAGCATAACCTTCTTGCTCAGGGACTGTCCCACCAACTGCAGCAGGTTTTAGTGGCTAGCTATCTCTTGCTCAGTGGCAGCTGCAAAAAGATTGAAAAAATCAACCGAGGAACCCATCAGCTAGTCATATATGTTCCTGCAATTATAAGTTCTATAACAGCTAGATCCATGGAGGACTCTCTGTAACATTTAACATCTAATTAGAGTGTGCTGCACGATGGTAGTATAAAAATAAAATAGCATTCATTGGATACCAGGATATTATCAAACAGCTTTTCTTTCAGTGTTCCTCTTTACAAAAAATCCTACAATATTAAGCCACAAGTGTGTGCTAATTCTTTACAAGCACACTAATTCAACAAATGATAGATGTTGAATGTCAGTGCATGAGTTCTCAGCTATTTAATTGCTTAGCCACAGTAACATGCATTATTCCCTATAAGTTACTACATATTTGATGCTAGCAATTTTATCAAAAAATCAATGGATAACCTAACAGTCACTTGCCAAAATTGAAGTTTAAATTTTAATGTAGGCTAACAAAGGCAATAAACATGAAGCATACAAACTATTACTGCTACATGACTAGGGAAGATGCAAATGAGTGTGGATTGGCCAATTCAGACTCACGTCAAGGGGCAATAGCGCACTTAAATCAACAGCATACACTAAACTAGTACATGATACAGCAAACAACAGGTAGATAATTAACCAACAACAAATTAACAGTCATCAGGTAACTAGAATACTGTTGAACGACAGGTAACTAGAATACTGCTGAACCAGCCTGCCTACAGGTAACTAGAATACTGCCGACATTATTTGACAGCTGAAGTATAATTTTACTCCCTTTCTGCCCAAATTTAGTTTAGGATCCGTGTTTCAGAGTTCAAAATACCTAAGGATTTGGTACACCTATATTGGGCGCGCTTTCTTGATTTCTGGCCAAAAATCTAAAGTGAAATATCGTACCCATTGCTCAGTGTGCCATTGCATTAACATAATTGGTTAGGGTGGTGATAAGGCAGCGATGCAATGACCCGACGAAGAGACGACGTCGTGGTAGGGGAGCCTCCCATAAGAGATGGAAATACCTTGTTGATGTGGAGGAGGCGCCGCCCCGCGAGCTGGATGTAGCGGCGGCGTGCGCACCACCGTCGCGAGTCGCGGGTCACGAGAGATGCGCCGCTAGGCCGCCTCCGCCCGGAGTGATGCCCTTGGCTAGCCGGCGGACAGCTTTGTCCGCGTCGCCAGGTCGCCTCGGCTCGAGCTGCGGCGTTGACGACCAGATCCGCGTCGCCCTTAGCCAGGGCCGCGCCAGGGCCCTTCGTGGCGTCGTCGCTCCAAGCCCCCCACGCCACCAGCGTCGTCGCCGCTCCGAGCTGGTCCATCGCCACCAGCGCCATCGCTGCCCCGCTATGCCGGATCTGAGGGAGAGAGGGGAGTTGGGTGGCGGCGGAGTGCGCGCCCACGAGAGACATGCGAGATGTGAGAGACAAGCCAGGTTAGGGTTAGAGCGTGGTGAGGCTTATATTCACTTGTAAGTGAATCTCTACCGTTGCTCCAATCAAACGGCAGAGGATGAAGCGGGCTAAGCTGGGTTACATGTGATGGGCCGAATTTGAGGTTACCTTGGTCTGTTATTTATTACTGTATAAATGTCTTTTGTTTTTTCTTTTGCTCATAGAAATATATTTATAAATGTCTTTTATTTTTTCTTTTGCTCATATGGCGCATCAACTTTGTGAAGCATGTATAACGCATGTATCAAAAAGACTTGAATTTTTTTTGCAAGAATGTAGACCCAAAGCATGGCCCCACACAAAACCTTAGATTTTTCTCATCAATTTCGCTCATTATTGCATTTATTTTATTCTAAAATGGAGAAGGGAAGTTGAGTTACCCCTTTAAAATTATATAATTTTATATCCACCCCCACCAAATTAGGTTCACTGGGTCATATGAGACCTAGTATAAAAATTTGGTACTACTTTGGATTGTTTCGGGGTAGCCTCAGTTCAACCTCCAATTACTTTGTAACGTCGCGTAAAAATTCATTTAAATTGTAGAAAATAGCAAACCACCACCGAAAAATCTGAAACTTAGCGTTTTCTTAACTTGTGGCATGTGCAAGTTTGAGAAAAATTTTGAAGCGCATACGACGTAGAAATGCATGGGACCCTTGGAAACCTAGAAGTTCTAGTAACGGCTCCACGAAATGGCACATCCACTTTGTGAAGCATGTATAGTATGCCTGTATAAAAAAGACATGATATTTTTTTGCAAGTATGTAGACCTAGAGCATGACCCCACACAAAATCTTAGATTTTTCTGATTAATTTCGCGCATTATTGCATTTATTTTATTCTAAAATGGAGGAAGGAGGTTGAGTTACCCTTCAAAGTAATATAATTTTCCATACACCCCCACCAAATTAGGTTCATTGGGCCATGTAAGACCTAGTATAAAAATTTAGTACGATTTTGGATCGTTTCAGGGGTAGCCTCGATTCAACCTCCAATTACTTTGTACTGTCACGCTGAAATTCATTTAAATCGTAGAAAATAGCAAACCACCTCCAAAAATTCTGAAACTTAGCGTTTTCTTAACTTGTGGCTCGTAGAAGTTTGATAAAAAGTTTGATGCACATACAATGTAGAAATGCATGGGACCCTTAGAAACCTAGAAGTTGTAGTCACAGCTCCACGAAATGGCACATCCACTTTGTGAAGCATGTGTATTACTCCTTGAAAGCCCTAGTTTGTTTTTGGCTAATTGATGAAACCTATTTGGACTAACCTATTTGCTAAAGTGTGTGTAGCTAAGAAAGGCTAAGTCCAAGACCAAGTGAAGTGGTCGACAAAAGCAATGGAGTGCTCGGCCAAAGCTTTCAAGTGCTCGGCCAAGGTTCTTATGTGGTCGGCAAGGCACTATGTGTGCTCGGCCAAAGTTCTTTGGTGGCCGGCAAGGCACTATGTGTGCTCGGCTAAAGTTCTTTGGTGGTCGGCAAGGCACTATGTGTGCTCAGCCAAAGTTCTTTGGTGGTCGGCAAGGCACTTGAGTGGTCGCCCATGCTTTGGAGTGATCGGCCATGATGATCAAGTACTCCAACTTGATAAGAAGAAAGAGAAAAACAAAAAGAGCTCAAGGCAAAGGTATATATGATAGGGCCATTTTGTTTTTGACACTTAAGATACTATAGAGGGTGTGAGTATATTTAGGATTGATAGCCGTACTATGAAGATGGGAGAAATTCATTGCGAAATGCGGTTATCAAAGTGCCACTAGATGTTCTAACTCATTGCATATGCATTTAGTATCTAGTGAGTGCTAACACCCTTGGAATTGGTTTGAAAATATGCTAACACACATGCACAAAGGTGATACACATTGTGTTTAGCACTTGGGAACAAGGGTGAAGTGATTGGAGAAAAGATAGGGTGTCATAGGGTACACCGGATGCTGGTCCCCCTGGCACCGGACGCGTCCAGTGCTAAACCCTGGCTGAGTGGACTCTGGACGAGTCCGGTCCTATGTGACCGGACGCGTCCGGTGGCTCAGGGAGCTCTCTGAGTTGCACTGGACGCGGTGAACTCGGCTGGACCGGACACGCCTATGGAGCGTCCGGTCCTCGTGATGTGGCGCGTGTGCTGACGCAGTGAAAGCACCTAACGCTAGGGTGTGTCCGGTCACCTAGACCAGACGCGTCCGGTCGTTGCGCAGAGGCTTTGGGAGGTCTTTGAGTTAGCACCGGGCTCTGCCTGAGGCCGCGCCCGGTGAACCGAGAAGGCGCGTCCGGTGATCACTTAACGGTCATATGAACAACGGCCGACCGTTGGAATTGAACGGCCGAGGTGAAACGAGGATGACCCGTGGCTGCATTAGCAGCACTGGACGCTGGGCCACCAGACGCGGCGCGTCCGTTGCATGCGCTGATTTCAGGGTAACGGCTCTATTTTGGAGGGAGCTCTATATATATATATATATATATATATATATGTTTGGCTGGCTTGGGGCTGGCTCTCTTGACTTTTTGATATTGCAAACATCCCATTGAGCTAAGAAAACTCTCTCCCACTCATCTCCTTGCTTGATATTGCAAATCGAAGTGAGATTGAGTGATCCAAGTGCATTGCTTGAGTGATTGTATCTAGAGGCACTTGGTGATTGTGTTCCGCTATGGATTTCTCTTGTTACTCTTGGTGGTTACCGCCACCTAGACGGCTTGGTGAAGCGAAGGAGTGTTGGCAAGATTGGTGATTGTTCTTGGCCACACCCATTGTTCTTTGTGAGGGGTTCTTGGGCTTAATTCCCCGGCGAAGCGCCAAAAGCCACTCTAGTACATTGCTCGTGACGTTGAGTGTCCTCATCTTGTGTTGGTTGAGCGGCACCCTTTGTGGGTTAGGCGGTTGATGCCTATAAGCGTGCGAACCTCCAAGTGAGTGAACGTCACAACAAGGACGTACCTTGCCGGCAAGCAAGTGAACCTTGGTAAAAATCATTGTGTCATCTTTTCTCCAAGGTTTTCATTGTGCTTATTGTTTGATCACTTGCCACGCGGTATAACCCTCTCTATCACTCTTTGTATTTACATTGATATATATCTTGTGTAGTGATAGTTTACTTTTCTAGTTGTATTTATCTCTTGCAAGCTCTCTAGTATTAATTGTTAGAATTGATCTTTGAGTGACTAGAAAAGTATAGAACACTAGACTTGTGGTTAGGTGGCTTGCAACCCTCTTTGTAGTGCTAGCGCAAAACTCGCATTACGCCATTTAGTTGTCTAACCTTTTTGTCTTAGTGTTGTTGTAGAAAATTTTTATTAGGCTATTCACCCCCCTCTAGCGATTTAGGACCTTTCACTCCTGTATAAAAAATACATGAATTTTTTTTGCAATAATGTAGACCCAAAGCTTGGCCCCACACAAAATCTTAGATTTTTTGATCAATTTTGCTCATTATTGCATTTATTTTATTCTAAAATGGAGGAAGGAGGTTGAGTTACCCCTTCAAAGTAATATAATTTTCCATCCACCCCCACCAAATTAGGTTCATTGGGCCATGTAAGACCTAGTATAAAAATTTGGTACGATTTTGGATCGTTTCGGGGGTAAGCCTCGATTCAACCTCCAATTACTTTGTACCGTGATGTAGAAATTCATTTAAATCGTAGAAAATAGAAAACCACCTCCGACAAATCTGAAACTTAGTGTTTTCTTAACTTGTGGCTCATACAAGTTTGAGAAAAAGTTTGATGCGCATACGACGTAGAAATGCATGGGACCCTTGGAAACCTAGAAGTTGTAGCCAAGGCTCCATGAAATGGCACATCCACTTTGTGAAGCATGTATATTACGCCTGTATCAAAAAGACATGAATTTGTTTGCAATAATGTAGACCCAAAGCATGGCCCCACACAAAATCTTAGATTTTTCTGACCAATTTCGCTCATTATTGCATTTATTTTATTCTATAATAGAGAAAGCAGGTTGAGTTACCCCTTCAAAATAATATTATTTTCCATCCACCCCCACCAAATTAGGTTCATCGGGCCATATAAGATCTAGTATAAAAATTTGGTACGATTTTGGATCGTTTTGGGGTAGCCTCAGTTCAACCTCCAAATACTTTGTACCGTCACGCAAAAATTCATTTAAACCGTAGAAAATAGCAAACCTCCTCTGAAAAATTTGAAACTTAGTGTTTTCATAACTTGTGGCACATACAAGCTTGAGAAAAAGTTTATGGCATGTACGACGTCGAAATGCACGGGACCCTTGGAAACCTATGAGTTGTAGTCAGGGTTCTATGAAATGGCACAAAAGAGAAGCATGTATATTACACCTGTATCAAAAAGACTTGAATTTTTTGCAAGAATGTAGAGCCAAAGCATGGCTCCACACAAAAACAACCGTGGGCGTCTAAAAACGTCGAAGAAGCCAAGCGGTCGAGTCCATGTAAGAGGCTACACTAGCAACTAGTGCAATGTTCTATATACAATATATATTAGACCATCGTAGCTCAGTGGTTGAGGCGGTTGCTTCTTGTCTGAGTTATCCAGGTTGGGGTCCCCTCGGGCTCATTTTTTTTGTTTCGAGCGAATTACACCAACAAGTTCAGTAGTTTATATAAATAGAAACTACAACACCTACCATAGGCGTTTTTGTAACTCAGTGGTTATTTCTGCCGCTTCTCTATTGAGCGCTCCCAGGTTGGAATCCCCACTGGTCCGTGTTTTTTGCGACTTTGGATTGAATTACGACAACTAACGCATATATAAATACAATACAATAATTTCTGTTCCTAACGCCGTTGTAGCTCAGTGGTCGTGGCTGCCTTCTGAGGTGGTAACGCCCAACGTTCGAGTTCCCTCGGGCTCGATTTTTTTTTGCGATTTTTGCGCCTT